GCCATTTACAGCACGTGAGAGCCTAAGAACCACGACGTGTCTGCCCCATGCCTGTCACACAGGCATAGCTTCCTACGTGCCGGTGAGTGTTTACCTTATATTCTAAAATTTTAAACCAGGCCCCAGGAAAGAGGAAAATGATAGCACATCAAGGAATCTCCCAGCTTCTGGAACCTCTGTCCTCGCTAGGCTTCGGGGTCACCTTCCTTTCTGTCAATCAAGGAATTGCTGAGTGGGGCAGACTCAGCACTATTTTAAAGAGAGAAATGAGCTCCATTCGCTGTGACAGACATTGCAGGGAGAATTCTCCTCTGTGACTGGAAGAAAAATAATATGATGTCTTTTTTTTTTTTTTTTTTTTGAGATGGAGTCTTGCTCTGTCACCCAGGCTGGAGTGCAGTGGCATGATCTCAGGTCATTGCAACCTCTGCCTCTCGGGTTCAAGTCATTTTTCTGCCTCAGCCTCCCGAGTAGCTGGGATTACAGGTGCGTGCCACCATGCCCAGCTAATTTTTGTATTTTAGTAAGATGGGGTTTGGCATGTTAGCAAGGCCGGTCTCGAACTCCTGGCCTCAGGTGGTCCATCCACTTCAGCCTCCCAAAGTGCTGTGATGACAAGCAGGAGCCGCCACGACGGCCTTTTTGTTTTCTTGAGGCAGGATCTCACTCTGGGATCTAGACTGGAGTGCGGTGCTGAGATCACAGCTTACTGTAGCCCCAGACTCCTGGGCTCCACCTACCTCAGCCTCCCGAGGAGCTGGGACCACAGGCATGCACCATCATGCCCAGCTAATTTTTATATTTTTTGTAAAGATCAAGTGTAGCTATGTTGTCCAGTCTGATCTCAAATTCTTGGCCTCAAGTGGTCCTCCCGCCTTAGCCTCTCAAAGTGCTGGGATTTGAGCCACTGCACTCAGCCTGTAATGATCTCCCAATGCTCTTGCACTGGGGAAAACCACCTGATCTACTGTCTCAGGGACTTATGAGAGGGCGACCACCCCTTCCCTGCCCAGCACCGGCTCCAGGAAGGCAGCTGAGCGGGAGGTTGAAGCCTTGCACTGGAGGGAGGGAGAGGTAAGCTGACAACAGAAGGCAGTGAAGCCAGCCCGGGTGCCTGGGTGAGAAGAGGCGTCTACCAGGGTGGAAACTGGAGTGAACTTGAAGAGAAAGTCGGAGCTCGCCAGTGAGGACAGACAGAAGCGGTCAAAGACCAGGAGGAAAGAGGAAGGCGGCGAGTGCACGGCCAGGCTGGGCAGCTTCTCTCTTCACCTTGATGGAGAGGGCTCTGACCAGACCCGAGCTGGAGACAAGTCACACAGCAGGAAGCATGGGGCGGCTGGGGGAGAGAAGCTTCTGCGGGGTCCAGGGCAGCCCCGGCTCCGGCTTAAGAGGAAGGACCCAGGCCAAGTGGCCATGGAAACAGACATGGGTGCTGACCAGGGCCACCTTCGTCCTTCCTTCGGTCCCTCCTCTTAACCTCTGCTGAGCCCCTCCTTTCCCATGTCCTTTGTCCTCTCTTCTCCTCCCTTTCCTGTCACCTGCATTCCCAGCCCATTTTTCTGCCCCTCCTGCTAACTTGTCCTCTGAGCACAGAACGCAGCAGGCCCCCATCAGCCCCCGCCCATCCCCTCCACACTTCAAGCAGCTGTGTGGTACCTGGTGCTGGGTACAGAATGGCCCGGGGCAGCCCTGCACAGCCGCAGAGCCCAGGGTCTAACGCGGAGCCCTGGAGTCCATCAAATGCATTCCCAGGATCCAGCCCCCCCGCAGCCCGATGGTGCCTTGATGAGCACAGGATTGTGTTGGGCGCACAGGGAGTTCCACTGTCTGTCGCCCCAACACCTACACAGGGCCTGAACCACAGGGGAGCTCACAGGATTCTTTTAGAATCGCTGATGGAGGAGTTAGAGTCCTGCAGAACTTCCTGAAGTCCTGTGGAATCTCAGAGCTCACCTCCTCCACCCTCAACAGATGGTCCAAGGCCAGCCTGGGCCATTTTCTTCCATGATGACCCAATGTCCCAGGAACTGTCAGCTCAGACAGGAGCTGGCTTTTTACCAACAAATCCAGCCCCGAGGGAAAGAGTTCCCCGAAGAGACACCCCAGGACCTCCTACCTTCATCGCCAGGGCCATCAGGGCGCCCTCGGTGGGCTGGCCCATCACAGCGTTCTTTCTGATGACTGCGTTGTTGGCGACACAGCCCGCCTACAAGGGGATTGTCCAACATCTGTAGTTAGTACTGGGCTCATGACAAAGACGCTGCGGGCTTGGCCCATTTTTACAGTGGGGGCTGCAGGGACAAGGCTTGCTCTTTAAAACTACTCAGCGTCCTAGCTTTTTAAACACCCGTTTCTTGGCTGTGCTGAACGTTGGCGGCCACAAAGATAACACGAGGGGATCCAGCAGGCAGGCGGGCGGACAGGTGGTGATGAGTGCAGATGACAGTGGGGAAGATGGCGTTTCCACCTGAGGTGACAAAGTGTTCTAGGCAGTGGGGATGGCTGCACAGCTTGTGGACATAGTGAAGCCATGGAATTGTACACTGTAACAGGTGAATTCATGGTAGATGACATCTCAATTAAAAAATGAAAAAGAGACAAGCCGAAAGAGTGGGACTCCTGGCACTCTTCCTTCCGGGCACTTGTAGTACTTCTCTGAGCTCGTTTCTTTTCTTTTCTACTGTTACTTAATAGTTTTGCACATTTCTGTTTCATTCACTCATCCATCCATCCATTCATTCATTCATTTGAGACAGAGTCTCACTCTGTCACCCAGGCTGGAGTGCAGTGGTGCGATCTCAGCTCACTGCAACCTCCACCTCCCTGGTTCAAGACAATTCTCTTGCCTTAGGCTTCTGAGCAGCTAAGACTACAGGGGTGTGCCATCATGCCTGGCTAATTTTATATTTTTTAGTAGAGATGGGGTTTCACCCTGTTAGTAGGCTGGTCTTGAACTCCTGATGTCAGGTGATCTACCCACCTTGGCCTCCCAAAGTGCTGGGATTATAGGGGTGAACCACCACACCTGGCCATATTTTTTTTTTTTCTTAATCTGCAAAACTGAGACAGTGTTTGCTGTGATAGTGAAGTGGCCCCTGGAGGCAGGGCCTTCTCAGGCAGTGCTCACTGAACTGTACAGAGGAAGAAGGGTACCTGCTGCGTGGGGAGGGGTGAGCCTTTGTGAGAGGGTGAGTGCACATCGCATTGCAGGACTGATCGCAGCAACAGGGGAAAGTCCATTCACAGGGCACGTCTCTGTGCAGGAGTCTCCTTAGAGCCTTCCCGGGGGCAGTGATGAATACAAAGGATCATTTTTTTTTTTTCAGATAGAGTCTTACTCTGTTCCCCAGGACAGAGTTCAGTTGCACGATCTCAGCTCACTGCAACCTCCACCTCCCGGGTTCAAGTGATTCTCCTGCCTCAGCCTCCCAAGCAGCTGGGATTACAGGTGCTTGCCACTGTGCTGGGCTAATTTTTGTATTTTTAGTAGAGACAGGATTTCACCATCTTGGCCAGGCTGGTCTCAAACTCCTGACCTCATGATCCACCCGCCTCAGCCTCCCAAAGTGCTGGGATTACAGGCATGAGCCACCACGCCTGGCCTAAATAATTAAAAAAAAATAACAGAGACAGGGTCTCACTATGTTGCCAGGCTGCTCTCAAACTCTGGGCCTCAAGGGATTCTCCAGCCTTGGCCTCCTGTGAGGCCACTGTGCCCGGCCTAGCTCTTCTCTGACCTCCAATGTCTCCATCAGTTTTGGGGTCACTTTTCCAGTGCTGTGACAGGCTAACCCCTGGGTGGTCCCGTCACTCTCCGCTAACTGTTTCCTTTTTCAAAGAGAAGCCCCGGAAGCCCCGATGCAAATGCCTATTTCCCCCACGGTGCTTTCGACACCTACCTCCACTAATTTTCCCACGGAGACGTTGGAAAATTCCTTAATTACTTCCTTGGATGGTAGAAGACACACAGTCCCTTGGCCATCATACCCAACTCCACTGACCTGCAGGGGAGAAGCAGAAGAAAGTGTGTCACCAAGAGTCAAAAACATGCTCCCTGGTTGGCCCACCATCTCTGTCCTGGGGATCCATGCCAAGGACATAATTCTAAACACGTACAGGGCTTTAAGTATGAAGATGTTCCCTGAAAGATTATTTATTAATCAGATACCTCACTGACGGACAAAGTGGCACACATTAGTAAATTACATCAAGTTTACTCAGTGGGATACTCTGCAGCCAGTTCAACTGATGATTAAGAAAACTAAGATCTAGCATAGAAGAGTTTATATTCTAAGAACAGAGTGGGCAAACGCGCAGGTCTTTGCAGCTGATCCCACCTCTGTCATGGCTACTCAGCTCTACCATTATGGCCCACTGAGGCATGAAAACAGCCATCGGCAACACGTACACAAATGGGTGCGGCAGTACACCAACAAAGCTTTATTTCCAAACATCAGCCCTGGCCCACGGGCACTCATTTGTTCACCCCTTGCTCTGGCCAGTTTTGTGGAAAAAATATCAGGATAAAAAATTGCACATTCAGGGAGCTTCCAATGTGCCAAGCACACAGAAGACACTGACAAACATGAGGAGACTTGGGAGGCTGAGGAGAGAGGATCACTTGAGCCCAGAAGTTAGAGGCTGCAGTGAGCCATGATTGCACCACTGGACTGCAACCTGGGTGACACAACACCACCCTGTCTTAAAAAATAAAAAAACAAAACGAGTCCATCGTGGTGGCTCATGCCTATAATCCCCGCACTCTGGGAGGCCAAGGTGGGCGGATCACCTGAGGTCAGGAGTTTGAGACCAGCCTGGCCAACATACAGTAAAATCCCGTCTCTACTAAAAATACAAAAATTAGCTGGGCATAGAGGTACATGCCTGTAGTCCCAGCTACTTGGGAAGCTGAGACAGGAGAACCACTTGAACCCATGAGCTGGAGGTTGCAGTGAGCCGAGATCTAGCCACTGCACTCCAGCCTGGGCGACAGAGTGAGACTCTGTGTCTCAAAAACAAACAAACAGCAAATTGACTAATCATCGTTAGTTTATCATGGGAGGTATGGAATTTTTTTTTTTTTGAGATGAGTTTCACTCTTCTTGCCCAGGCTAGAGTGCAATGGCACGATCTTGGCTCACTGCAACCTCTGTCTCCTGGGTTTAAGTCATTCTCCTGCCTCAGCCTCAGCCTCCTGAGAAGCTGGGACTACAGGCATGCACAACCGCAAATGACTAATTTTTGTATTTTTAGTAGAGACAGGATATCTCCATGTTGGTCAGGCAGGTCTCAAACGCCCGACCTCTGGTGATCCACCTGCCTCGGCCTCCCCGAGTGCTGGGATTACAAATTTTTTCTAGCTTTCAATTTTGTCGTGTGCTTATAATTAACAAGTAGTAAGAAAAGGAGGCTCCCCTAAATTGGTCATGTCTTTTGAAAGGAAGTATAAAATGATTACAAACAAAATCAGTGCTGTTAGCCAAGAGATTGTAAGATGACCCCAATTTATTTCTTCCTTATTGTGTTCTAGAAGACACTGTGTGCCTTGTCTAGAAGGAGATGGCCCGGCTGGGTGCATCTTTAAGGCTTGGAAATTCCTCTGGGACTCACCTCGGCATGAAGCCCATCCGATGTTACAAGCTGGGTCACCGTCATTTCATTGGCAGTCAGAGTTCCCGTCTTATCAGAACAGAGAACGCTGCAGCAACCTGGTACAATAAGCATCAGTTTATAGAAAAGAGGAATCGCCACCCTCAGGTCTGTGAAACCCCCAGGCTGGACGGCCCTGACAGCCAAGCTTCCATTCAGCTCCAAATGTCAGAATTCCACCGGCCAGAGTCCCTCACCTAAAGTCTCCACGATGGGTAACTTCTTCACGATGACGCGCTTCTTGGCCATCCGCAGCACTCCGAGGACCAGCGTCACCATGACGACGATGGGCAGACCCTCTGGGATGGCCGCCACAGCCAGGCTGGATCGAAAGGTCAAATGAGTTCCCTCTAACATCCACTTAAGGAGAGCGTGACTCTCGACTGGGGCTGGCAATGCTTCTGGCTAGTGAAGCTCGGCTTTGGTGTCCCCAGTGTCCTGGTTCTATTCTCCATTCCCAATCCTAAGGGGCACCTGACTCCTTCAGCATCCATGGTCCTGAGCCCTCCGCTGCACACCCTGCTCTTGGGAAGGGACCTCTCCTGTCAGTCATCAACACCTTAGTGTGAATTAGTTGGTCAGCTGTTTTGGCTCTTTAAAAGTTTTTTTTTTGTTTGTTTTTTTGTTTTGTTTTGTTTTTTGAGACAGAGTTTCACTCTTGTTGCCCATTCTGGAGAGCAATGACATGATTCAGCTCACCACAACCTCCACCTCCCAGTTCAAGCGATTCTCCTGCCTCAGCCTCCCGAGTAGCTGGGATTACAAGCATGTGCCACCACGCCCAGCTAATTTTGTATTTTCAGTAGAGACGGGGTTTCTCCGTGTTGGTCAGGCTGGTCGTGAACTCCCGACCTCCAGTGATCCACCTACTTCAGCCTCCCAAAGTGCTGAGATTACAGGCGTGAGCCGCCGTGCCTGGCTAAAAGTATTTTGCATTTACATTATTCTCATTTATTAGAGAGAAAAGGCTTTGGGTCCCATGAAAGGAATTCTCAGAATCAGACAGTAAGGGGGATTAAGAGTTCCTGGTTCCGAGGGTCCTTGTGGGTCCCCTGAATTTCACTTTTCATTAGTGTACTGGTGCAGACACTTCCTATGAGGAAGCCAGACAAGGAAGTCCAAGTCAGGGGAGGTGAAAGGCCACAGCAACGGCCCTGCCCGTGGTGCAGATCTGTTTCAGGGTGTCTGCTCACTTCCTTCTCATCCCTCCAACTCTCCCTGGACTATGCGACCCCACTCCCCCATAACCAGGGTTGACTGGATTCGAGGAGACAGTCTGACCCAAGCTGAGCCAGTAAGATGATCTCTTGGAAACAAGAATGGGGCTGTGACACACAGAGGCCCCTTCCCCGGGTGTGTCAATAGGTGAGAGGACATGCACAGGGGGCTCTTTCTGTCCCTTGTGGCTGATACTCCAAAACACTGGGGCCAACTGGCAAGGTATGATGCCTGGGGCCTGGTTGGACATAGCCCAGCGTGGGCTACAGATGGAGCAGCAGTGCTTGCAAATGGACCACTGTGGACGCGGGGCAGTGGCTGCGCAGGTGTTCACGTTCTCATCCTCTCTGCTTTTGTAGATGCTTGAAATTTTTCTTTAAAAAATGTAAAAACCAACATGAAGAAAGCACAACAATTAAATGCGTATCAGCGAACAAAAGGATGAGCCGAATGTGGCTTATCTATGCAGCAGAATACCCTTCAGCCATAGAAAGGAACGAGGCACCGGCACACGTTAACACGTGGCCGAGCCTGGAAAATGTGCTGCTGAGTGGAAGAAGCCAGACACAGAGGCCACTCAGAGCAGGAGTCCGTTCATAAGGGATGTTGAGAATGGGGAATTCTACACAGAAAGAAAGGCGAGTGACTCCTTAGGGCTTGGATGCAGACGCGGGCAGGAATATTGAGTGACAGCTAAAGGGCACGGGGTTTCTTCTTGAGGCAGTAAGAAAATGTTCTAGACCAGGCACAGTGGCTCATGCCTGTAATCCCAGCACTTGGGGAGGCTGAGGCAGGTAGGTCACCTGAGGTCAGGAATTTGAGACCAACCTGGCCAACATGGTGAAACCCCCATCTCTACTAAAAATACAAAAATTAGCTGGGCGTGGTGGGGCACACCTGTAATCCTAGCTACTCAGGAAGCTGAGGCAGGAGAATTGCTTGAACCCAGGAGGCGGAGGATACAGTGAGCTGCGATCGTGCCATTGCACTCCAGCCTGGTGACAGATGGAGGCTTTGCCTCAAAAAAAAGAAAAAAAGTTCTAAGGCCAGGCACAGTAGCACACACCTATAATGCCAGCACTTTGATAGGATGACACAGGCAGATCGTTTGACCTCAGGAGTTCGAGACCAACCTGGGCAACATTTTTTTCAACAAAAAAATAAAAATAAACATTAGCTGAGTGTGGCAGTGTGCACCTATAATCCCAGCTACTCAGGGGGCTGAGGTGGGAGGGTCGCTTGAGTTGGGAGGTCAAGGCTGAGGCTACCGTGGGCTGTCATCATGCCACTGTGCTGCAGACTGCGTAACAGAGTAAGACCCTGTCAGAACAGAATAGAAAATAAGTCCTAAAATGGACTGTGGTGATGGTTGTGTCTGTCTGTAAATATACTAAAAAAAACATTAAATTGTATACTTTCAATGAATTAATTATATGATGTGTGAATTATATCTCTATAAAGCTGTTTAAGAAAGGAAAAAGAAAAGCAGACTTGGCTGATGATGGGAGGGGGGGAGAGATTTTGAGCAGGTGGGGGAGGCTGGCCAGATCCTCCCCACCAAGCCTCCACCTGAGGCCAACCTGAGGGGTAAGGAGGATGTGACTTCAATGGAGCTCCAAGTGCTTTTATCGCATGGAACCACTCTGTGCAACTTCTAGAAAGAGACTATTCTGGGGACTAAAGGTGATGAGGAATTTCTGTTATCTGAGAACACCAGAAAAGTCACGGGAGAAGAGGGCCACTGCCTCCCCATGCTTGCAGCCCACCCGCAGCCACTGCCACGGACCTGGCAGAAGCTTCTCTACACCCGCCTGGTCCAGCTCCCAGAGCCAGGCTCCCTAGCAAATACATGAAATCAGCCAGTATGAGCAAGACCACATGGTGATCCCAGAGTCCAGGCCCTGCCCTAAGCAAAGAGCCACCACCAAGTCACCAAGGACAACAGCAATGCCCAGTGCTCCCAGGCCTCCCACGCTTCCCAAGAGAAGCTGGAAACCCAGTATCTTTTTCATACAAACTCCCAGTTTTTAAATGTTGGCAACAAATTACAATGAAAAAAGTAGAGTTCGAACAAAATCTATTTCCTGGCCATATCTCACACAAGGGTGGATGGGTTTGTCTGTCTGTTTGAGATGGAGTCTCACTGTCATCCAGGCTGGAGTGCAGTGGCACGATATCAGCTCACTGCAACATCCACCCCCCCAGGTTCCTGCAATTCTGCCTTAGCCTCCCGCATAGCTGAGATTATAGGCATGCGGGACCACGGTTGGCTAATATTTGTATTTTTAGTAGAGATGGAGTTTCACCTGTTGTTGGCCAGGCTGGTCTTGAACTCCTGGCCTCAGGTGATCCACCTGCCTCGGCCTCCCGAAGTGCAGGGATTACAGGCCTGAGCCACCATGCGCAGCTAAAACCACTGTCTTAACAGATGAACTGGAAGCCAAATTTCAACACACTGTGAGTAAATGTCATTACAGAATACGTTCGCACTCTACCTGGGGTAGCTGATAGAACACCTGGTGAGGATCCATTCCACCAGGATCACACAGGGAGACCATATTTCATCAGCGCTAAGACACAGTTGATTGTGAAGGGCACCGTTATTTTGTGCAGCACTTGGAAAAGAATCCACACTGCCAATTAATCAGTAACACCATGCTTTCTAATTACATCACTCATTAAAAGCGATCTCATTTCAGAGGAGTTGAAATGTGAAAAAGAACGTACATTGCAGCCAGGCGCAGTGGCTCACGCCTGTAATCCGAGCACTCTGGGAGGCTGAGGTGGGTGGATCACAAGGTCAGCAGTTCAAGACCAGCCTGATCAGGATAGTAAAACCCCATCTCTACTAAAAATACAAAAATTAGCCGGGTGTGATGGCGAGCGCCCGTAATCCCAGCCACTTGGGAGGCTGAGGCAGAGAACTGCTTGAACCCAGGAGGCAGAGGTTGCAGTGAGCTGATATGGCACCACTGCACTCCGGTCTGGGTGATAAAGTGAGACTCTGTCTAAAAAAAAAAAGTACATCTCAGAATCAAAGAAATATGATATATTAAATGTTGGCAACAAATTCCAATTGCAAAGCAGACAGTTTGAATAGAATGATTCTGAATAGTGACCTTTCACCCAGAGACAACAGAACAGGCAGGGACAAGTTATATAAACCAAGATTATAGAATTTGGTCAGGGGACCGTGCCCAGTTTCTACAGTGACAGCCAGAAGGCTTCCTTCCTTATGGCACAGCCTGTGAAGACCAGCAAAGCAAACATTTGTGGAGCGTTATGACGTGGACTTTCATCCCATAGGCAGGGGAAGGACATCTTTGCATGTACCTGGAAGAATTCATAATAACCAAGAATTAATCCAGAAACTGATAAAGATTAGAATGGGCCAGCCATGGTAGCTCACACCTGTATTCCCAGCACTTTGGGACACCAAAGCAGGTGGATCATTTGAGCTGAGGAGTTCAAGACTAGCCTGGCCAACACAGTGAAACCCCAACTCTACTAAAAATACAAAAATTAGCTGGGTATGATAGTGCACACCTATAGTCCCGGATACTCCGGGAGGCTGAGGCAGGAGAATCGCTTGAACCCAGAAGGCAGAGGTTGCAGTGAGCCAAGATCACATCACTGCACTCCAGCCTGGGTGACAGAGCGAGACTCCGTCTCAAAACAAAAACAGATGAGAATGGACCAGGAAAAGCAAGTCCCTCAGGTAATGTTGAATATCACCTAATACATAGGGAATTGGTTGTGGAAAAGTTTTAAAAGTTTTAACAAATGATTCTCTCATTTTACTTATTTTGGAAAATCTCTGCTGGCTAAGCTGCCATTTCCACCTTTTGATTCAATGGTTTTGGGTGACTTTAATCTGGCACTAACACTGCAAATCCCCGCCCCAAAATCACAAGTGAGAGGGGAAAGTGTCCCTCACATGAAAGTCCACATGCATAGCTCAAGCGGGATGCCCGCGTTGCAAGGGAGGCTGGGAGAAGAAAGCAGAAGGGACCAACAGCAGGGGCGGGGGAGAAGCAGGGGTTTGGGGCTTGGGCACAGAAGCCTTTTTTTGCTTTTTCTCCTGGAAATATTTAATCACCTGCC